CTCGGGGTTTTAGCTTGAAGAAAGTATATCAGACGCAGAGTGTGGGAAATAAGGCCTCGTAGAATAGATGTGGTGGCAGGGGTTGATTGAAATACTTAAGCCAAGAAGATAGCAGGCGAATTCTACGGGGCAAGACTCTGATAAGGCCTAGGGAAGGACTGCGTAACAATATGGCAGACTCTGATCAACATTCCCAGCAAAAGAGTGAAAGGGGTGGGGGGTGACAATGCCAGCGTGGAGTGTGGAGGGTTCTCATGAAACTCGCTCAAAAGGGCACACCACACTAGATTTAGATAAGCAAGGAAAAAATTATGATGGTGAAGGCGTGATACGAGGATATAGGAGATACCATAAATGTTTAGCACACATTTCATCAAAGGATCAGCCTCAATTTTGTCTTTCACGAGTTGTAGTATCGTGATAAGAATGACAAGACTCATTGATGATGCCAACTAAGGTGCCGGCGAAATGTCTGGGGATGTACCACGTCCACGGGCCGACTTTAGAAATCGACTTCGGACTAGGCGCGTTCCTCTAAGTCTTCCTACCAATATGATCAAGTTGCAAAATTAAGGTCAAACAACCTCTATACAACAAAAGGAGACTGTGAACACACCATTCTGGTCTTCATATCTTAGAATATAACTTATTGTTAGTTAACGATATGAAAACTTTTAGCGGCTTTTCTGAAAAAGTTAAGGGACGAAAAAAGAAAATCTGTTCTAAATATATTTAAGACTGTATAAATAAAAATAAGCAGCTTGCTTTATTAGAAGTATTTATCATACGATGTAGATATTCTATGGATCGAAGTACTTCCTTAATATGCTTGATGTTCTGATTTTTCCTAAAATCAAGAAGCAAAAGGCTACTATTTCAAAAAACGATTAGGTACTCACCGACGAAGGTTTTCAAATGAGTAAGAACATCTCTTAATCCCCTTAAATTCAAGAGACGCAGTATTCTACAAATAAATAAAGAGGAAAATAATACTTGAAGTAGACTGATCCGATTTTTACCAAAAAATGTAAAGGGTACGTAATATTTATCTCCAAACTTGAAAATCAATTTGTTGTAACGATTGATTGATTGTGATGCCTCTATAATCTGTACACGCAATTATAAAAACATCAATATACGTCACTCCCGACGCAAGTCAATCCAGAAAAATGTACCATAACTTCAAACAAGATAAAATGCACTCCTTTTTTTGGTGATATAAAAAACGTTAATATGATGCCTGTAAATAGAATGAGCGAGTTAATCCTACATTTAGTAGCAAGTTGCTTTCGTGTGCACAAAGTAAAATCAAAAGAGTCCCAAGAAGGATTCTAAGAACATAAAATCAAGTTAATACTCACATAAATATTGTAAGAACAATGGCTTTTTAAAAAATCTAAGAAAAATCATAATCAAAGAACGTTACATCCAAGTGAATCATCGCAAGGCATAGACATGCCAAAATAAACATATTCCCTCCAAGTTGAATGAGGGACCTGATGGATAAAATTCCTTCCGTAGATCCCTCTCAAATGTCTGAGTCTCAGCTTAAATAGATTGTTAAATATGCTCAAATGGATCACCTACATTCGGAGGAGCATCGCCGCCAACCATCGCATCCGAAAAAGCCGCTTAAAATGTCTATTTATTTATTTTTTATTTGGTAAAAGTTTTTTATATTAATTTCTTTGGTATTCTTTAAATTGTCTTAATATTTTTTAAATCTTATTTGCTAGATTAGAAAGGGTTTTTGAATACCTTCCCCCCATGACAGACCTTAGGCTGCGACTTGCTGATATCGACTTAGGAAATTTGCTATTTGAAGATAAGGCCCCTCTTCAAAATGTTTGTGGTGATAAAATGTAAGCTTTTTTTTTGCCTATACTTCAGTACGGAGAAGGATATAGATGATATAAGTCTTATATGTACCCGTCATTTTTTACAAGAATTATGGAAGGTACTTGCCATTTTTGCCGCATTACGTAGTTCAAAAGTTGCCAACAGAGATATCAGAAGATCTCATTGTCACAATTGTACGTGTGTTTTTTATTATTATTTTGTAGCTGCCTCAGCCTTTATCCCGACTTCCTCGCTTCAAATTGGTATGCTTTCAGTTTGCTTTTATTTCAGGCTCCAAAAACTAGGGATTTAGCGAGGTGGGAGCGTTACGCTCGCATAAAGGGTATTCATAACAAAAAGAAATCTAAAAAAGTTTGGGATGAGACTACTAAAAGTTGGAAGCCTCGTTGGGGCAAGGGAAGAGCTGATGATATAAAAGATAAATGGGTCCTCGAAGTGCCTGACAATGCTGGTAGGTCTACTAATCTAATGGAATTCTTCACACAGATCCATACGAGGACCAATTTGAAAAGCTTAAGAGACAAAAAGCTGATCGTGCTGCCAAGAATGAGTTCCAGCGATTGCGGAATATTTCTCATGCAGCCAAAGCTGGTCGTCGTAAGTGAACTCTTTACTTTACCCTTCATTTCCTTATCTTTGATCCGTGTTTCCTTAATGAATTGTTATACTTGTATAGCTAACCCAGCGGGCATTCTGGCTGAAGTTGAGCTCAATAAATCTGGCTTATCTCAAGCTTATCGCATAGCGTCAACCTCTGATGCTTCCCTCGGTCGTTTTACACAGGATGTTAACATAAAAAAGATAAAGAAGAAGACAGAGTAAGCATTTATTCTGTTTCTTTTTTATATCGAAAATGTGGCGCTCTAAACCATGATCTATATCTTTTCCTTGCTAGTACATAATCCTTTGCCTATTTTTGGCTAACGGCAGCGTGAATTTATATCCATGGTTGATTTCTTTTTACATTTCCTTGTAACCAGATTTTGTCTTTTATTTTAATTTATGCACCTATTTTCGTAATTCAAAAGACAGTCCGTCGTTTGTATCGTCCTATACAACTTTTAGGAATATTTATTATCACTATGGCATACGAATCTTGGCTATTCTTATTAGAGGTTTCTAGCTGTGGCTGCTTTCGAATATCTATGAAAAATACGGTCTTAGAAAATCATGTAATCAGTATATATTTCCCAAAAATTAGTTATACCTTGATCTCATCATTAAGCTTGATTATCACTTGCATACACTGTACTTGTCTCTAAGTTGTGCTGGTTTTCGGTTATTGATGATTTAGTACCTTGTCCATAGATTTGCCGGGACATTTTAAAAATAAACACATTTTACTTCCCAAAGTCTAGTAACTTCCCAGGGTTGTCAGCTATTCTCCAGATCGGTAATCGTTCGCTGTGAGTGGGTGTGGAGCGTTCGCATTTCTATATGCATCAATGCAGGCATGTAGATTTGATCGCTTAGTTTAAATCGAATTGTTGCTTCACTTTTTTATATAACTTTGGTCATAATTGCTTCGGCACTGATGTTTGTACCTCGATGTGACAGCTCAAACGCATTTCGAAAACGTACAATCGTTTTATGATTGCCCTCATGCTTATCGATATCATAGCTTCGTTGAATTGCAACCTGTCGAATAGGGTTCCAAAGATGATTCAATTATATCAATAAATATTACGATACTAGCGGATAATCCTGAAAAAGACACTGGCTCTGAGGTTTTGGTCGAATGAGCCAATGAGTCCAAATCAATTTAATTCTAAGGTATGGAGACCAAGGCGGTGTGGCCTTTTGTGTTATCGTAGGCTCCTTACGTTGTATAGAGGTTGTTTGACCTTGTTTTTGCAACTTGATCATATTGGTAGAAACGTATCTAGTCCATTGTATGCATGCTAATTTCCAAAGTCGTATCGTCGACGTGGTACATTCCCAGACGTTTAGCCAGCATCGTCAGTGAGTCTCGCCATTCTTAGCACCACACAACTTGTCAAAAGACATAAGTGAGACCGATCCTTTGACCAAACGTGTGTTAAACACTTGTGATATCTCCCCTTCCGCGCTGGACTATTCACATTTTCTTTATCCTCCTATCACGCCTTTACTGTTACAGTTTTTGCCGCGCTTATTTAGATGTGGTGTGATGTGCTCCTTTGAGCGGCATTCATGAAAATCCTTCACACTTCACGCTGTCGTTCTCATCCCCTTCACCCTTGTGCTGGGAATATTACTCAGTCTGCCATATTGTTACGCAGTCCTCTTTCCCTAGGTCTTATCACAGTCCCTCGCTCCGTAAGTTCAATCTGCCCTCCTCCTGGTTAACGTATTTTACTCGACCCCTGCGACCTCGATTGTGCCACTCGAGGCGTTATTACCCCTTCCATGCGTCTAGGTGACTTATTCGAGTCACTCATGGACTAAGTCTATGGTAAAAACAGACATACTGTCATGCAACTAGTTCCAGTCTCCGCCGCATCTATCCGGTGTCTATCTCTAATACCAAGTCTATGACTTCCTATGCCATAGTCTCTTGTATGCCAACCCACAATGGTTATGGTTCAATATTGAACCTAATCTAAACAAGCATTACCACAACATTTGTGGGTTACCACACAAGAGACTAAGGCATAGCAAGTCATGCACTTGGTATTAGGAATAAAAAACAGGATAGATGCAACGGAGATTGGATCTAGTTGGCTGACAGTAGGTTCTACCAGAGATGTGGTCCATATAGCAAAGGCGTGACCCTGAGACTTACTCAAAGGCTTTAGCCTCGAATTAGTCACTTAGACTCATGGGAGGAGTAATAACGCCTCGGATAGCACAGATGGGGTGTTAATGGTAGAGTGAAATACGTCAACCAGGGAGAGAGCAGATGGATCTTACGGAGCAAGAGACTGTGATAAGACCCATTGAACGAGGACTGCGTAACAATATGGCAGACCCTGAGCAATTTTTCCAGCACAAGGATGAAGGGGGTGATAACGACAGCGTTAAGTGTGGAGGATTTTCATGAATGCTGCTCAAAGGAGCACAACACACTACATCTAAATAAGCACGGAAACAATTGGAATAGTGAAGGAGTGATAGGAGGATATAGGAATGTGAATAGCCCAGGGCAGAAGGAGAGATGCCACAACAGTTTAGCACACGCTTGGTCAAAGCATCAGCTTAACTTGTTTTATTGACAAGTTGTTTTGTGGTGCTAAGAATGGCGAGACTTACTGACCATGCCTGTGAAACGTCTGGGAATGTACAATGTCCGACTTTGGAAATTATCATGTATACAATGGACTGCGGACTAGGTGCCTTTCTCTAAGTCTCGCTACCAATATGACCAAGTTGCGAAAACAAGGTCACACAACCTTAATTTAATTCTGCTTACTTAGCTGTTAGGCTAGTCAACTTACCTGAAGTGGTTAATTGGTTGTCTGTGGAAATGCTCCAACAAATGAGTATCTGGACCAGTATCACATTT